AGGTTCACCATCATGGTGTACATTGATGGATGTTAGTTAGTTGGAGGTTATTAGCATGAGGCTGTGAACCAAGGTTTCGACCTAGGGCTTAGACGAAGAAAGTTTTACGTTGTGTCATGGTATATCTATCTCCCTTAGCGTTCATGTGGTGTTCTTACTATATGATTTTGAGAGTAAACTAACAATCGGGATTTTCCAGTGTTTAAAAAAATATAGGCTGATCGATCAAACGTGAAAGAAAATACTGATAATTGTATCAAATGAACAGATTTAAATTTAAAAATATTTAGTTCATGGTTGAAACGAATAATCTGGAAGGATTTAAGCTTCCAGTATGATTTATTTATCACTGACAAAGCCAAAACACACTGAAACTAGTATGATTGTTTTTATATTGTACCATCGTTGATTGGACCGAACTAATCGGTCTGTATTAGCATATGAGCTCGTGTGCCGATGCCTCGATATTACCAGTGCCACAAAAAGTGCTTCTCGTGGCTGGGTAGAGTAGTGGATAAAGCCCTGGTTTGAAGCGATCCCTCCATAGTCCGAATCCAGGTGGGACCAACTTTACTTACTGGGAAGCAGGTACATCCAGCTGACAAGTCGAGAATACGACGATCTGCACATCCTATCCACGACCCATCATTAGCACCAAGAGTGCACTACATCATTTTGTTGAAGTGACTCAAAATTAGTCTGCTAGGTATATAGCCATCAAGTTTGAGCTCATTTTTCCCATCACCTTCCTATTCTTTTGACTTTTAATATCATACTACTTATAAAACGTCAGTAGCAAAGGTGCACACTCAAATTAGTCGGCTTAAATATAACACAGTGTGTTGATTTTCGTCATAATCTATTTTGTTCAGCATTTAAACAATTCTGCGTATTACCTTTTCTTGACATTTTTCAACTGGATCTTACCTTCTTCAGCTTGCTTCTCATCTGTCACGCCATCCCTCTGATCTTCACTTATCTTTATCATTTTTTGCTAATTTGGACTTACATGACTTCAGTTTTGAACCTGCCTTCAGGTGTTCTTTTTGATTTAATTACACAGTTACTTTGAGGGTGCAATATACACCTAGAGACCTCATAAACTAAAGTTGGTAGCCTTGTCATCTTTCACACTGGATAAATCTAATGTTACGACTTTCAGGTTCTACACGTAATTCAAACGTTCGGTCTCGAATGGTTAAAGCTATATTTCAACGCATGATTATGGAATTCCTAGGTGACTTCTATAATGGCGCTGAATCAAATTTATTTGACTCATTCAACAATGATTTCGTCAAAAAATGAGGACAACCTTTTGAAACATTGGGAAATTTTGAAAAAAGCTAACAAAAGAATTCAATTTCTTTCATTATAGTAGATATAAGCCTATTATTTTTCGTTCTGAAAAAGTCAGACTGGATGAAAATGATTACTTTTTAAAAGTATTTCAAATAAAAATTGGAGAAAAGCAGGATTTTTTCATGCTGGTCAATTTCGCGCGTTCACAAATGCATTTCTCACTTTATTTCGCATCAAATTTCAATAAATCAATAAATGATATCTACTCAACTTAATATAATTACGTCCTAAAGGTTGTAATATTTTCGTGCATACATCTCTTTCCCATAAGCCGCAGACATTGTTTCGTGTTATAAGTTCCTAAAATCTGAAGATGTGCTATTTCTGAATTACTGCACTTACTGACAAGACGAGTGTTTCTATGTATATTATTATTGTTATATATTATTTGTCCCTTGGTTTCCTAATGGAACATAGGGCTTCAATAGCACGTCTCCAGTGAAATCTCTTCTCTGAAATCTTTTGAACCAAGCTCCACGACAGCTCACAAGCATTCATTTCCTTCTCGCACGATCTCCTCCATGTCACCCTCGGACACCCAACTCATCGTTTCTCATCGAGGTTCCACTCGAGGGCCTCGCGTGTGATGTCTCCAGTCAGCCTTCTCAGTGTATGCCCAATCCATCTCCACTTTCTGCTTCTGCATACTTGTTCAGAGATAGCTTCTTGGTTGGTTCCTTTCCAGAGTTGTATGTAGTCTATCATAAGTACCGTTGCTAATATCCTCGAAAGATTTACAATTTGAAGTGGTAATTTTATATTGGGTAGAAATGCTATATAACTTACCACTGTGATATACATGCGCTAAATGACAATCTGCGCAGCCATTGATGATGAATGTCTCTAGTTTGTTGGAAATGCTTATCGTCACGCACCAAGTTTCTGAAACATACAGAAGCAGTGACGTGACAGACTTAGTGTTGAAAATCACGATCCTGTTCACACTTCATGCTGAGTGCAGTGCAGTGTAGTGCAGTGCAGCACAGTAGATCTCCACATTAATTCCAGGTTTAATGAAAGCCTGTCTTGCTGTCTTTCCAATCCTGGCTGCTTTGACCACCTCATCTGTGCCTGTGTCTGTGCCTGTGCCGCCACCTGTAGTTGAAACGAGGCCGCCCAGACAGGTAGGTGAAAGAGACCACTTCCTTCAGATTTCTGTCGTTGATGGTGATTGGTGCCAATTGTTGATGTTGTTGATGTTGGTTGGATATCTTCATCACATCTGTTCTCTCTGGGTTCACCTGAATTCGCATCTTCATTCGCTGCCTCCCCCGTCAACTTATAGGTTTTCATCATCTGTGGTGAAATCCTAATCTTCTCCTGGGGTCTTTTCATCGGTCAAACAGCATATAAGCATCTTCTCGTTCCCCACGGTTTGCTGCATTATTCGTAAAAGTGTCTTCTGTCTTTGTGTGCACTCTTCTTCACTTCTTTGTCCAGTGTGGTGTTTTATAGCTTGTACTCAGTTCCTCTTTTCGTTGTTCATCCCTGCACTGCACTACACTGCACTACACTAGTTCATCTTCTGATTCACCATCACCATCTTCCTCTCTTCGCTGTTTCAGCTTCCAAGTGTCCGTCGACATCCATTCCTTGTCTTGCCTCCTCTTCTCCTTCCTAGGTCGCTTATGCAGGTTTCTTTCCACATCTCTTTCAAAGGGTTCCAATGTTCTTGGTCTCAGGTATCCTGGAGGATATTGCTCAATATCTCCCGTTTTGTCCTGATAGCTGAAGTGAGGATGACATTTGCAGTCTCCTGCTTCAGTGATGTTTCTGTTCTTGGTGTTCAACTTGGACCACCGTCTGTCACCAACTGCTTCGAAGGCTGTCAACCTGATTTGGAAGATGGGTCGCTTGCACTAGATAATACGGAATGTAAAACTACAACTTCTCCCCTTCTTGCTCCAGTCTCCAGTAGGCTGCCTCTACACTTCCTTCGGATTGAGACGAAATCGATGTGATTTTCAGTGTGTTCTGGTGTCTGGTGAGATCCATGTCGCTGCCTTGTGAATATCCTTGTGTTTGTACACACTGCCCCAACTCGTTCAATGCACAGAAGTCGGTAAATAGTTCTCCATTCTCATTCCTCATTTCACCGAGTACCTCTCGACCCATGATGAGTTCTCTTCCTGTGTTGTCCACTCCCAGTTTGCCACTCATCTCACTCCACCAATTAGAATTTCGATGTGGCCATCTGTGGTGAGGTCTTGTCCAGTGCTGATTGCAGCTGTCTTTAGAATTCCTCCTTCTTCTCTTGTTATGCGTCTGCATTATTTGTAGGTGCACGGCGTAGCATTGAATGATTGTGACTTCCCTTCCCTCTGAGTTGAATCCATCTTATTGTCATGATCCTGACCGTGCAGGAGGAGATTGGTTCCCACTTCAAGAGAAGAAGCCTTCGGTGCCCTTGGGGACATCATGATTGCCAGTCGAAAACTCAGTGTGCTTGTGGTTGTCGTCTGGGTGACAATATTGGAAAAGATAATTGACTCTCGTCTCGAGTTGATAGTTTGGAGAGTCCACTTCCATTCCATCTACTTTCACAGATTCCTAGCACTTCTATGCTATACCTTGTCATCTCGTTTGCGATCTGGGTAGCCTTGCCAGCCAGCCAGCCAGCCAGCCAGCCAGCCAGCCAGCCAGCCAGCCAGCCAGCCAGCCAGCCAGCCAGCCAGCCAGCCAGCCAGCCAGCCAGCCAGCCAGCCAGCCAGCCAGCCAGCCAGCCAGCCAGCCAGCCAGCCAGCCAGCCAGCCAGCCAGCCAGCCAGCCAGCCAGCCAGCCAGCCAGCCAGCCAGCCAGCCAGCCGATCTGCCAACCTCAAACATCCTGCGGATATTCCATGTTCCCATTATCACCTTCACTTTCATCGGGAGATGATGGGATGACACATTGGCCAACTGGCTTCCTGAAAGCTCTCACTCATTTTGTCTCCTCGATTCCAGTGGGGAATAAGTTTATTTTTATTTTCAATATTTTCTTTGTGCTTGGATTGGTTTTTGGGGGTAGGGTTGGTAGCCCTATGTCCAAGCTTCCCTGTTTATCCGGGCTTAGGACGGGCTAGTAACTACTGAACTAGTTAACCAGGCGAGGTTACGTAGATATGAGTGTTAATGTGAAGTAGAATTCCAACTGGTATGTTGTTAGCTTAAGTACTTAACACCTACGCAACGAAATTTGCGAATACACAAGCATAGTAGTCCTCAACCACGTAACTACTTACAACTTTTATTGATGATGTATAAAAACGTCCATTCAACACAGTTCATGCAAACATTTTCTTCATTTTAAATTCGAGATGAATTTATCTTCGGTTTCTGCTACTGCAGCATTCTCTTGTTTGCTTTCTCGTGTCCGCTTTCAGAACCTCTACCGATCAAAATGATGACTGCATGATTCTTACAGAGACATCATGCTATTTACCATTTAAACATGTTCCTATAATCACCAGGAACATCATATTTGTATAAAAATTGAAAGTTTCTCAAACTTAACTTCAAATTCTCGAAACAGCATTGCATATCATAAATATAAGTAGTTATTTATCACTGTTTTTCTGTTGACCGTGAAAACATTTCATAAAATCAGATGTTTTCTTTACAAATGGAATAAGTTTTGTTTCTTTTTTTCCAGCTGTTAACATAATGTACTCTTTACTCAGCATCAGTAATTTAAAGACCCCTCGAATTTATTTCATTACGTTAACAATCATAATTATTATTTACGCTGTACGTGGACAAAACAATCCACTTAGATGGAAGAATTTAGAAGAAGACATCGAATATATACCTGTCAATAAAATACCAATTGATTCTCTGGTTGACAGAGATTATCATTATAATGGATACCGAAGAATTAGGCCACGAGCAGCTGAACTTGTCCCACCAGAAAGGCCTCTAATGTTTGAAACTCCTGAAGCGCTAAGAACATATCTACACAAACTGAATGAGTATTTTGCAATCATCGGTCGTCCAAGGTAAGCTTTCTGTAATTGTAATCATCGCTATTCTGATGAAACATTCCCCCTTCAAAGTAAACTTCTGTTAGATAATCATAAAATGGAATCTTATGGAACCATTGTTAGTTTATGTACTGTAGTTCATATAGTAGCTTCACTTATAACCTTTGTTAGACTAACATGACGTAATTTTGAGAAAAATAATTACGTATGTGTACTTTTTAAAGTTGTATTCATCACAGACTGACATTAACTGCGTAACCATTCTAAACATAGGAATACTGGATAGCTGTTTCTTCCCAGTATGTGACTTCCCAGCAGTATGCTACCTTAACTACACTGAAGATTCAGCCCATAAGTGTCAGATGTAATGGGAAACACGTGGCTACTCAGCTGCTAGGTTGGAATTCAGTAGGTGACCCACTATCCGATACTTCTGTTAATTCGTGACATATCTACGGGTTAAATACTGGCTGATGGTTAATATCTAAATATCTTATTTCTGTTTCGTCAATCTCTGGCACGTTTGTGGGTGCGTATAACTGAGGAGTCCCATACTAGGAAGAAACAGCTGTCTAGCGCTCTCAGCATTTCAATGGTTACTCAACTGATATCAGTCAATAATGAATACAATGTTAAACACTACACAGGTATTCGGGAAACTATACTGGCTTGAATAACAGTACTAATAGAGTTGTAGAAAACAAAGTCGATAAGTTACAATTCAATTGCTATACATTCAGTAGATGTAGACCTGAAAGTTATTCCATTTCTTTTGACTTATGTTTCACAGTACTCAAAACTGGTTCTTGGTTTGTTTGTTAACACTATTCTTTGAAATTTTTAAGTTTTTAAATATGCAATGATATGTTCTATTTCTTAGAGTATGCAACGATGCTAACTATATTTCTGAGTTGTGAACAAATGATGAATGTCCTCAATCTTAAGTTATCCTTTTGAGAAAATCCAGTGAAACTCCAGTAAATTTACACATCAAACTTTCAAGCAGTTTTGTTATACTTGTATGGTTTGTATATCAAAGTATGACATACATTTTGTATCATCGTTATAACTCACCTTTAAACTGAGGAAATTACACCTAAAAGCATTGAAATCAGGAACTCTAGCAGTGTATAGTTCGATAATTTGATATGAGACATACAGTGTTATAATATTGTTTGCTTGATGACTTTTCAAGCATAGATTATTATTCATAATCATATCAAGGTAATCACACAATTTTTGACATCCTATTCTTATGCTTCCAACACCTCATGTCTTTTACGAAGATGATCGATATTTCATGAGGATTAGAGTTAACTGTCAAAAACCGAGCAATTAAATAGACTTCAAATCATTTAGTAGTGAATAGGTATCAGTTAATTATACTTTATCAATTTGACATGCATTCACCAACTTGTGGAATCACACTTCGAAACAAAACTTCTGGTTTCTCTTGGTTCATGGCCAACATTTATAGTTATGTATACGAGTCTGCCAACAGTGTATAACCCATGTCGGTGCTTATTCCTTTGTGCTAAGCGCTGATATAATTCTATCTTGTTCATAATAGACCTTCTAGGGTTTTCCTGCCAACTGTCCCCCATTATCTAGTACCGAAATGCAGTTTACCTCAAAGTCGTGTTCCTTTGTCTTTTGGCTATCTTGCAAGATTTGATCGATAGACTTGGATCAGTACTTAGTGATTACTAAAGACTTGATAGCTACATGAGTAGCCCATTGGGAACCAATTCATGCACGTAATATAGTCGTTCAGGGGATTTAGTCATGATCTGAATGGCTTAGTAGTCACGTCTCTGACTTCATCACTGAGAGATGCAGCCTTGAATCATCAACGGAACACTGGTCTCTCCACAGTTGCAGATATGCCTTGTCAATCATTGCCGGTGAAGAAAAACCTTAATCCACGGCCTCTTGTCGAATGACTTCTAGCATCTAACACTAAAACAGTTTCATTTCGTTTCCCTTTTCGGTACAAAAAAATATGCCCGCTGAAACATTTCTCAAATTACGAGACGCTTTTGTTGGAAGTGGCAAATATTTGATTCGATTTAGAAAGTTTGTCATCGTTTCATGCAAACTGTAGACTTCGTTTCACAAAACTTGAAAACTTATGAGAAAAACCTGACAGTTTAATCTGTTATAGTGTCAACGGTCGGTCCAGGAATTTAAAAGTTGATACGTAACTAAGGATATTCGCTTTGTGTGTTACTTTTGCTTTTCCTTTAAACGTACCCTTAACAGACCTACTTAATATTCCAGTGAAGATTCACCGAAAACACAACAGAATGGATCGGAAAGCATCTTTTTAAACAGTTGGTATAAATTCATTCTGTTGGGTGGTAGATAAAAAATACTTGGCAAGGACCATTCATAGATGAGTGATAAATGTATTTCCATATACATTAATAGTAATCAATGTAACACTCATGCACTCATTCATCGAAGACGAAGGCGATAATATTCTCATTAGATTATTTTTCTGGTGAGGTTACACTACTTACAAACCTAACAGTAGCATAGTTGGGCAGCAAAAGTTTTCAAACTGGTGCATCGACGTACCCTCGTTGCTCCACCTCATAGAAAAATCAATGTTAACCTACTAAAAACAGTGTTCATCTGAAGTCCCTGGTAAGAATCCGTCAGTTAATGGTCATATTATGAGTGCCTAGAATGATAATTCAACTCTAGAATGCAGCCAAATTGATATGAACTAAAGTCGATGACATCGGTGGAATATTCGTAAACATTGCACATCAAATCAGGAGGTAGGGAGTCACAGCATTCAGATGGTTTTCTCCAAAACACTTCTGTAACAAAGAAAAATGAGGTTTCCGATTTTTTTGAAGCCACGAATTCAGGTACTCAACTTGGCGGACAAATTTGGTAATTCGACGATTATATTACACACTATCCTAACCATAGAGTATAAGGTTGTGAAATAATTGAAAATATTTGTATCTCAGGTGAATAGTCTTGGTTGTATTGTTTTCTCTGAGCTGGGTTGTTTAATCGTGAGATTTTGAGTAGCTTTTTCCTGAGGAATTTTCCTCGTTGTTCCTTGTATCGTCTGCTTGATTTTTCAATCGCATTTGTCAATGTTGTTATGTGCTGTATAGTGAGTATGCTTTTCAGTTTTCTCTTTTGATTGTTAATCACTGATTGGTATTTCCGGATCCGATGGTGTGCACCTGTGATCATCAATTGTACCATTTGCCTTCCACTTTGTTCAGCTATTTTCCATCCTACTGGACAGTTAACCGATGGTCAGTTTCTGACACTCTTCGGCAGAGCATGTTGGCGTAGGCACTCATGGAGAAAGAATGGTTGTTCTTTTGTGGAAGCTTGCCTTCTGGAGAAGTCTTCCCATCTTTGAACAACGTGAAGCGTGTCATACTCGTATGATTTTGAAATAATGGAGACTATCTGTAGCTCAGGTGGATGGTCTTGGTTGTAATATCAACCACAGTGAACTGATTAATTAGCATGTGGCATAAATCTAAATATCAACGATTTTGAAATTTAGACATTGGTAAGATGACTCTTCAGCTGAGTTAAGGACGTCTAACCAAGTAGAACCTAATCTTTTGGGCATTTTCATACTCATCTGACTACGCCATCCAAGGTGGTAGAATGATGTCAGAACAATCTGTTGAGATCCACATGCTAGTTATTCCCTAAAATAAGCGAGTGTACATTCGTGCAATTTTTTTATCTGGCAATATTATCAGTTCTCCGCAACACAGAGTGTCTTCTAGAAATAAATCAGTCAATGACCAAACACCAGCAACTGAATTACTCCCTTTGTTCACTAGTCATTTACTTCACTGTATATCACATCTTAAAAGCAGACTGAGATGGATCTAAAGTTCTTCGTCTTTTAGAGTTTACGAAGAGAAAAATATGCGCGTATGTGAGATAACGCATTCTTATTCGATAGCAGCAATGACAGATGGGACTTTGCGCTACATTCTTCAAGAGCATTGGAAGCTTTAGGTCTGTTTTTTGTTTCATTCACCTCGTTGAATAATTTATGCCAGAATTTGAGGATTTTTCTCAGTCGATCAATTTACAACACAACGACTAATAATTTTTGAAACAATTTGTGAAAAATCCCAACAGAGATACCATGTCAACATTTCGTAATTTTCTGGTTATATCAGTAATATAATTTCAAGGATAATTGTACAAGCATTCGAGCCATCATACAGATCAGATGAGAAAATTCTTTATATGATACAAATATGAAATCAGGTAATGAAAGGTATTAACCACACGCTTCACACTCACATTCTCTTTTTATTAATCCGCTACGTAACACTGAACCGATTGGTAGTTACACTTACTTGAATGCCTAAAAAATATCTCAGATCGCATTGGTTTGGTAGACTCGAGGTATAGATAAGGAATGATAACTAATGTGAAGTGAAAATATGGGAGGCAGCAGGATTCGAGTCAGCCTATCACTCTGGGATTATATCAATTTATTACTTGTTCCTTGGGTTCCTACAGAAACATACGGCCTCAGTAACACATCTCCATTACACTCTCTTCTCTGCAGTCATCCCAACATGACTACACCAACACCCACAACCTTTCATTTCGCCCTCACATGATCTCCTCCATCTCAACCTCAAATAAGACTCCCAACTCGTCGTTTCACACTTCGATTCCACTCGAGAGACTAGACTGGACTGGCCTGGTATGACCGGGCACGTGATATCCCCAGTAGGTCTTCTCCGTGCATGCACAATAAATCTCCACTTCCTTCTGCATTCTTGTTGGGCGATGGGTTCTCGCTTCGTTGGTTCGTTACCAGTCAGAGTTCCGTGTTGCTTGTTTATTCTTTCTTCCCATCCATATGATCTTCAGCATCAGTATCGAGTGGGCGAAAGCGGCAGATGTTGATGATTGTTCTTGGTTGGTTCCTTTCCAGAGTTGTATGTAGTCTATCATAAGTACCGTTGCTAATATCCTCGAAAGATTTACAATTTGAAGTGGTAATTTTATATTGGGTAGAAATGCTATATAACTTACCACTGTGATATGCATGCGCTAAATGACAATCTGCGCAGCCATTGATGATGAATGTCTCTAGTTTGTTGGAAATGCTTATCGTCACGCACCAAGTTTCTGAAACATACAGAAGCAGTGACGTGACAGACTTAGTGTTGAAAATCACGATCCTGTTCACACTTCATGCTGAGTGCAGTGCAGTGTAGTGCAGTGCAGCACAGTAGATCTCCACATTAATTCCAGGTTTAATGAAAGCCTGTCTTGCTGTCTTTCCAATCCTGGCTGCTTTGACCACCTCATCTGTGCCTGTGTCTGTGCCTGTGCCGCCACCTGTAGTTGAAACGAGGCCGCCCAGACAGGTAGGTGAAAGAGACCACTTCCTTCAGATTTCTGTCGTTGATGGTGATTGGTGCCAATTGTTGATGTTGTTGATGTTGGTTGGATATCTTCATCACATCTGTTCTCTCTGGGTTCACCTGAATTCGCATCTTCATTCGCTGCCTCCCCAGTCAACTGGTTGGTTTTTGCCTGTAGATCTTCGAGTTTGTGAGACAAGACATTAGACATGAATCATCATCTGCGGCGAAATCCTAATCTTCTCCTGAGGTCATTTCATCTGTCAGACGACCTATGCCCATCTTCTCGTTCCCCACGGTTTGCTGCGTTATTCAGTCGACCACAATCAAGGAGATCATCGGTGATAGTAGGTGGCAGACTTGTCTCACTCCTGTCTTCACTTCAAAGGTGTCACTGAGCTGAGCTTTCCATCGTGAATCACTCGGTTTGTG